TGGCTGTGGAATTCTGGGAGTTGAAGTCCACATGCCTTAAAATTGTCAAGGTTGAGAAATACTGGACTAGAGGATTTCCTTCAAGGAACTTTGGTCTGTCACTACAGCGTTGCGTGGCAAAGACAAGAAGAGATATATATAAAAGAATGATTCGTTCCTGCCGATTTCAGAAAACCACGCCTCCAAATACGGAGCCACGATTTACTGAACGAACCAGGCTGGATAACTTGGTCTAAACACGGTCAGCTACTTCATGCCGTGCGAACTCAACATTTAAAACTAAACTCAAGTACTGGAAGAAGAACGCGGCCCGACGCTACGACCGCTCCTTCCCCCTTACCTCAATGCGCCCGCTGCTCCCCGAAAGCGCGGCTCCAGCCGCCGCCGCCGCCACCGCCGCCGCCGCCACCACGGCGGTAGCCGAGCAGGGGGCGGTACCACCGCCGCCTGGGCCGCCAACGCCAACGCCGCCGCCGCCGCCTCCTCCGAGGGCCTGGTCGCTCTTCTTGCGCTTGTACTTATCCTTGTACATCTTGTTCCGGTGCCTCTTGCACATCCAAGGCTTGCGCTGCTTCGCCACTTGGGTGGTGGTCTCGTTGCAACCCTCGTACGTGCAGCTTTTGCACCCGCCGCCGCCGCCGCCTCCCCCCGACTGAGCGCCGCTCTCCTCCTCGTCGTCCAGGTCCTCCAGGCCGCCGGCAGGACTGCACGCGCCGTCCGCGCCCGTGGCCCCGGCGCCGCCTTCGCTATCCCCTTCGGCGTCGCCCGCCGGCCCCAGCTCGTAGAAGAGCATGAGCCCGCCTTGGGCGGACGGCGCCTTGGAGACAGCCTGCGCGGGCTGCACCACCTGAGGCTGCAGCATGGCGCCCACCGCCTCTCCGTCCCCGCCGCAGGGCTGCATCACCAGCAAGGTGAGCGACTGCGGCGGGGATGGAGAAGGGGAGGAGGAGGAGGAGAAAGCGGCGGAGCTGCCGCTGGTATTTCCGGGAGCCTCCGTCCTGCCCGACCGTCTCGCAGCCAGGCCACAAAGGCCACGGCTGCCACAGCAACGGCAAACTAAAGACGCGAGTCGTGACAGCTCGCCAGCTAGTACGCAGGCGCAAGAGTGGGCGCGCGTCACCTCCGCTTCTCTTTCACCGGAAGACGGGGGGCGGCGCCAACTCAAAAGTTCGCGCTGAATAGGAGCGCCTGGTTGTCGCGTTGGTGACTTGGTTGGTTGCGCGAGGCACGCCAAGTGCTTGCCCCATTACTGTATGGCAGAGGTCTTCAAACTTGGCCCTTTTATGACTTGTGGACTTCAACTCCCAGAATTCCTCAGCCAGCGTGCCTGGCTGAGGAATTCTGGGAGTTGAAGTCCACAAGTCATAAAAGGGCCAAGTTTGAAGACCCCTGCTGTATGGGAAGCTCTGGGAAAGGGCGATTGGCAGACCACCTTCATATTGTTGCCAATAATTTTTTCTTACATTTTATCCATAAGCTGTAGGTTTGGCGAAAAACTGCTGCTTAACAGTTTGGCGTGAGTAATGTATGTTCCAGGTATCGTACAGTATTACATCTCAAAGTCCAAATATTCTTTTTTTTAATCCACGTTTTCAAGAGCTTTTAAATAAGTGAAGTCCGTGATCTATTTGGCAGGCATCAAACTGTTTCAGACCGTTGTATTGTCTGAAACTGGAATAGCTAATTGAAACTTTTGATATCACAGTTTGGTACAAATATCTAAGATTTCTAAATTGCTATCCACATCGGAGTAGCTTTTAGATTACTCTGAATCTAATCTTTTTATAAACAATGAAAGAATGTTGGTAAAGAGCATATTTGCAATGACACTGCAATGAAAAGTTGGATACTAATGGTCAAAAGAAACTATTAAGTTTCTTATGATCCTAAGATGAGAATACTAAATACAATGTTATTTACATTGACTGGAGATATCAGTGAATATAAATTTGATTAATAAAATAAAAATAAAATGTTTTAAAGGGCTAGCTAACAACTTGATAGTACTGGAAGTAGAAATTGTGTGAGGGGACATTTATTATGTTTTTCCTTATTTTATTTAAGAGCTAGACCACAGGTGTAAAACTCACCAGGTCACATGACGTGTAGCGACATATTGTTGACCTAGTCCTATTTGCTTTGTCCCTGTCTGTGGACACTGGACTCAAAAGTAGAAAGATAGCGTAGGTAATGTAAGTGGAAGAACAATTAACCAAAGGACTTCTCGGTCTTTGGGGATACTAATAGGAAGGCTTTTCTTATGGTCAATTATTTTATTTTATTTTCTAGGTTTATATATCTTTCCAATTGCTCCCATTTCAAATGCTTGCATATCCCATCCTGGTTAAAAATGTACATAACAGTTAAAATTCCACTTCTTCACCAAGGACAACAGAATTCAGTTAAAAATAAATACCATAAACCACAGAGGGGAATGTGTGTAAGAGCTAGGATCATACAACTCTCAGGGGACAAAGTTCCAAAGAAAGAGGGCACTGATTAAAAAGACTGATTTCTGAGGTTTCTGCTAACAACATTCTTTGATTTAACTGCAGGAACAATTTAAGGAAAGTTATCCTGAAGATACCTAGGTCTTGAGCCATAAAGATTTAAATGTTTGCAATTATTCTTCTTTTTTGTTTTCTTGTAAACAATTAAGCAATCCTCTGCTGTTTTTGAATTTTTCTCACAAGGAGTAGGGAACAAATTGTAAGAAATTCAATCTTACTTTTAAATGCTGCCAGTATTGTTCTTTTCATTGTTTAACTCTCTATATAATTTTCCTCCTCACAAATGGTACTGGCTGTTTCATTTTTGACCAAGAAAGTATTTTCAGTTCATGAAATTGAAAACAAAAACAGTGGCATTCATTAACACATTGTTTATTTTAATACATAAAATTTCAGTTGGAATATTGAAGAGATTGGAATTAATACATTCATTTTTAATACATAAAATCTCTAATGGAATATCCCAATGTCATTTGTACAGTGCTAGCTTATAGCAATATATGAAAGTAGGGTATAGATTAAGATATAAAAATAATTTTTAAAACTTTGAAGCATCTTCATTAGGATATTCAACTCAATTGCAAGATTCCAAATGAATTTCTAAATTTATTTCTTTAATTTATATGACTGACCATGCCATATAAATGACTAACTAACAATTAAAACAGAATAAAAAACAATAAAATAATTAAAGCCCTAAGCAACATAAATAGCATAAGGTAGCAGCAGAGAACAGTTATAACATTCCCACACTCCAAATAACCACAAAATGGGCTCATCTGTACTCTTAGAGCCCCAGGCTTAATGGCAAAACCAGATTTTTAATGCCTTGCAAAAGGCCAGCAGGGCTGGGTCAAGGCTGATCTTGGGGGGTGGGGATTGATGTTCCAATTAGTCCAATCTATGCTTAAATGTCTCGGTATAAGAAATCAGCTTTGCTCTTTTTATTAGGTAGCTTTTCTGAATGTTCAGCAAAGTCTACTTCTCTGCAGGTTACATCTTGCTCACTGAAGCAACCTAACTCCTACTCTGCTTGCTGAAGCAACAAAGAACAGTTTCCCCCTTTTTTATGTGGCAGTCCTTCACATGAGGATATTTACAGGAACTTTCAGGCTTCTTTCTTCTTATTTTCTCCAAGCAAATATACCCAGATTTTTCAATTGCTCCTCCTGGACTTCCTTACTATCCTTGTCACTCACCTTAGGATCATAGGCATCCAATACAAACTTTAATTTAAAAAGAAGAAGATGCAAACCTTGGCCTTATATACATATACATCAGCACTGAGTGCAAGCACTTAAGTCATGGGAAGGGAGTGTTGTGATGTGGCTACTTTTGAACCCAACCAAGAACACCTATGCCTAAGTTATACTCTAGTTCAGCATTTCCAACCTGGGTGCCCTCCAGACCTGTAGATTTCAGTTCCCATAATTCCCCAAGCCAGCATCATCTTTGCTGAGAATTCTGGAAATTGAAGTGACTTATGACCAATCCTCTCACTTGGTCATCCAAGTAGCATCCCCACAGGCACATGATCAGAATTTGGAAACTTGGCAACTAGCAAACATTTGATAGTTGCAGCATCTCAGGATAGCTATTTACACCCTTCCCAGCCAGCTTCCCACAAGCAAAGTCAATGGGGGAAGCTGGATACACTTAATGACCACATGTTTTACTTAAAACTGCAGTGATTCAATTAACAATTGACAAAAAGGTCATAAAATCAAGTGTGACTCTTGCATAGCAACAAATTCTGGTCCCAATTGTGGTCTAAGTCAAGGACTATCTGTACTGACATGGTTATAGCCATCATGATGTCTTTTTTTTAAACATCTCTTCCTGCAGAGATCACTGTCTGAGATATTGTTGGAAATACCAGTTGCACATTAGGTTAGCTTCCCTTCCTTTCCATTCTTTTTTCTTTCTTTCTTTTTTGAAAATAAAATTAAATAGATCAGTGAGTGTTGATCATCACAGAACATATTGAAAGGGATATTATATTGGGATGCATATTTTAGAAAAGTATGTAATTCTACAAATCCAACAAATGCAATAAGTCTGAAGTAATTAGTACATATATTAATTATAGTTGTTCCGCTAAAATATAAAGATCAGGCAGTGTAGGGAAAATTACAGAAACATGATTATTAACTAGATTTTATAGTAGCTTACTTTCTTTGTTTCACATTTACAGGAAAATTGTCTTATTTGTATAGCAGAATGGTCTTGCTAGGGAATACAATTAAACATCCTTGAGCTTTGAGATCAGTAAACAGAAGCAGGAAGCCAGATATTCCTACATACAATTTAAATAGTTGTATCTCCTTTAGAGCATAGCCTGTGGTAGCACCCCGTAAAATTTGGGTAATCTTGAAATCCTAAGTAGCATTGAATCTGGTTAGTACTTTGATGGGAGACCATCAAAGATCTCAAAATTATAAGCTGGACTAGGAAATTGAAAAAAAAATCTTAGAACAAGTCAAAGGCAAATAGTTTTTCTAATGTTATTGAGAAAATAATACAGATGTCTCCTTATGATCACTAAGCAGATCGACGTGAGAAAGAATGTACTTTTCATTATCTTCAGAAGCGGCTGAGAAAAACACTACAAAATTCCAAGACTATTAGAGGCGGAGCTCTATATGTGATCTCAAGTGGGAAAGTTCAGAAATCGTCTCTTCTCTGACTAACAGTTCAAATCTTGCATGACTTAGTCTTTCAACCACACTCATAATCTGGACTGAGAGACTATTCCATGCACAATAGATTTCCTTCCTTGGCTTCTCATGATGAAAGGTTTGAAAAAGCTGATCTCTGGGAAGAAATGCTACAGACTTCTAAATTTGTAAAGGAACTCCCAGCATCACTGGTGTATTCTGGATAGGAGGGGCTAGAGGAGATGATGTTTTTCAATCTCTGAAGTGCAATAATTAACAGCAAAAGAAGGAATGCCAAGAGGCTAAGGAAGATTGAAACGTAAACATAGACGTTTGACATGCGATTGGAAGGTAAGTCCATGGATGTTGAGAGAGAGGTGGGGTATAGTTCCAAAAAAGTTCCATTTTCAATATTTGCTATTAATCCAGATGTGGAGTTGAGTTCTGACATTTTTAAAAAAATATTATTAATATGTGTGATTGGCCACACAATGGAAAAGACTTAATAGTCAAAAAGAATTTTCTGTAAAACCTGTGGCATCTTGAGCCATTTTAGTAGTGATTAAATCCTTATAGCAGATTTTAACAGCATGTTATGTCTTGGTGCTGTAAAGAGATAAAAATTGGAGACAATGAAGCAATAGCATTTAAATATTAATTTAAATTAATTTCATTCAATATATTGAAATGATATATTGTTATATATATAAAAAATTATATTTCTTGTAGATTAAAATGAAAAAACAGACATGGATATTTTGAATACATATTTTACATTTACAACCATGGAAATAATATAGTACATAATAAAGACTGGGAATCTGAGCTGTGCATTCTGCTGTGTATCTTGAAATTAACCCACAATAAATTAATTTCTATAATGCTATTATTTAGTACTGATAATTTTTTTGTTAAATATAAATATAGAACTACAAATCAATTAGCACATTTCTTTGAATTTTCTGAGATATTTGAGGATTGCTTTTTTGATCAATCAAATGGTAATTCAATGCACAGGTTTATGATTTCTAACTCCATTTGGAAACTACATTATTTGTTCTTGTTTCAAGCATGATTTTGCTCTTCAAATCTTGTCTACAACTCTCATCATCATATTAGAATGATAGAAATATCATCTCAGGTTGAGAGATACTTAAAGGAAAAATAAATGCATATAGAAACAGAGAGACCCACTGACCACCATGATTAACAGGGCCTTATCAAATTAATATCACTCAGAAAACAGAAAATAACTTTGAATGTCTTTTGCTCTGGTATAACCCCAAGTAAGAACTGATTTTTTTTTCTTTCCAGAGTTGTTTTCATGAAGATAATCTGCATGGAAATAGATGGCTGATCTATAAGCACTAAATGCAGTATAGAACTTTTTGCTTTTATGTAGAGGGTGTTTTAATCCTCTAAGTGTAAACATTTTAATTTAAGCAAAGGTTTCATATGTAACTGGTTTCTTGCTGCTAAAGCTGGTGAAATGTTGGCTTTCCTTTGTGGTCTTTTATAGTTAAGTTTGGGTTGGATTTTTCATAATGCTTTTCATTGTGTTTTTAATTACACTTCTCTTTGGTTTCTTTAAGTACCCTGTCCTGGTTTTTAAAAAGCATATAATGCTTAACAAGAAGTGATAATATTACACCAAACTTTCATTGGGCTATTTTTCATTGAAACTTTGCATTCAGAGAGGCAAGAAAACATTCACTTGAAACCCCTAATTTTCATTGTTTCATAGGTTTTGGGAGTTGAGAAAATTATAGCTAGTGTAATCTTCTGCTCTTATAGGATAATTTACAATTGGTCCTCGCTTAGCAACTGTTTGAACTTACAATAGTGACTAGTCCTCATATTTATGCCAGTTGCAGTGTCCCGTGGTCATGTAATCACCATTTGTGATCTTCTTTGCCAGCTTCCTACAAACAAAATCAGTGGGGAAGTTGGCAGAAAGTTGCAAATGGCAACTACATCATTGCTTAATGACAGCATGGGATTCACTTAACATTGGCAAATAGGAACAAAATTTATGTGATAAAGTGACACAATCACATGACATCATGTTTTATGACTATGTAACTTAGTAACAGAAATTCTGGTCCAATAGTGTCATTAACAAAGGACCACCTGTCCTGCTTCTAAGGGAAAAGAGAAAATATACTGCAAATAACCTTATTTTGCACACCAAGTGTGCAAAACAATAGAATAGTAAGATACAAAGTAGAGAAGTGTTGCTGGAGGCAATGCAAAAGACCATTTAAGCATGGTATGGATACACTTTGGGAGCAAATGTGACATACCACTCCATGATTATTCTGCCACTCTAAAATGCTGTTCCTAGTGCTAGGTAAAATTATTTATATTCCCCCAGGCCTGTTAATATGTTTACACGTTTATTTTAAGTATGCATATTTGCCTAGGAACTTTTTAATTTCTTTGGCCGCTTTTATTGTTTATTTGCTAGTATTATTTTAATTAGTGTATTAACATTATTATTCAGACAAAGCAATATTTGATTTTACTGTACTGTAAGTTGAAAGATCTATGCCTATTTAATACTGGAGAAACAAAACTGAAAGAAGAATATGATCTCTTTTCAAATACCAGAAAGGATGTAAACACAAAAGAAAATTAAGACTTCAGAGTATAATATAGGGAATGATTTATTCTACAGATTGCAGCTGAATGTTAGAAAAACATTCCTAATAGCAAACAGTAGTTTGAGCTACGATTTAAAGGTAGTTGACCATCTAAGACAGCAGGCATGGGAAAAACTGCATTTGGAACATAAGTAAGGATATGGTATCACTGACTTACCATATGAAATTCTGGATTGGTTGGAGCATGCTTCTGTATCTGTTACTGTTTGTTTATCCAATTTTCCAATCAACAATTGAAACAAAGTAATACAATAGTTCTCCTTGTGTTGTACTAGTTCAGTGATGGCGAACCTTTTAGAGACTGAGTGCCCAAACTGCAACCCAAAACCCACTTATGCATCATCGGGTGCCGGGTGGGTGTGGCCCATTGGGTGGGCGTGGCCCATTGGGTGGGCGTGGCGGCGGTGGTAATAGCAGACTGGGACTAAAAAGTTCAATCAATCAATTCCAACTTTGCAAGATCTTTTTTTTTCTGCGAGAAGTTGAAATTGACGCCTAAAGCGAAAAGGTTTTATAAAACCCAGCTGAAGGCCTAGGACTGGGGCGACAGTGCACGTGCCCACAGACAGAGCTCTGTGTGCCGCCTCTGGCACCCGTGCCATAGGTTCGCCACCACTGTACTAGTTGATACTACTTCACATCTACTTGGTAATGTTTTGCTTTATTTTCTTTTTATGCTACACTGATAAATCTTACTCACAAAATACGAAATGAGTTACCAATGTAATAAAAATAAAACCTTATTTTGTTTTTAAGTGGCAGCTTTCTCTTTGCAATAAGACAGGAAGCTAACTGAAACATTTACATTCAACTATCCTTTGAATTACATATATTTGAATACCTATATATTAAGGCATAATTGAGCAAACATATTCAAAGAATGCAGGTGAAACTGAACTTTTAATTTAATATAGCTAAGGAGGATAAGTAGCTATTAAGAGTTAGATATGACCTAGAGATGAGAATCTGAAATAGGTTTCTGATGGGATCATGTCACTTTTCTACAACTGTAATAAATTGGATATTCATTCAGATAACCTTGTCTGCACAGTGACATAAATTCTCTTACATTTTCAGTTTCTATCTGCATAATTTGATTCTCTCTATTTATCCTCCTGTTTCTGTGAAAACACAACTTACAACTTATTGATTTGAAAATCTCTGCACAAATTGTGTACTGAAATACACTGTACTTCAGTACACAATTTGTGGACAGGCTTTGCAAATCAGTAAGTTGTAACTTGTGTTTAGGACTTTCCCTGAAAAAGAAGTTCTTAGTGCAATTTGTTATACCATCAAGTCTTGCTCTATCACCTTCCAATCAGGATCAGACTAAAATCTGATGAATCTAGTGGAGAATTCTATCAGTATTTCTTACATCTACAAAAGTATTCCAACACTTTTCATTCTTTCTTCTAATTGTTAAAACTGCTTAATTGCATTTTGGAGCAAATCTGCATTAATATCAAGTAACTTTGGTCCTCCAGGATAAGCTTTTTTAAAAACAAATTAAGTAATGAATCTAGGAACACTCCAAGCTGTACGATCTTACATTGTAATAGATAGCTCTAGCAATCCCAGTGGTGGTATTTCCTCTAAGCAGAATAGCGTGTGCCAATTCAATGTTCAATCTAAGTTTTAGTAGATCCCAAATTATATAGTCCACCTTTAAATAGTTAATAGCAGAACAGATTTTCCAATGAGGTGATGGGATCTATTTCATTGGTAATGTTTAAGAAAAATCTAGCCAGCCATCTGTTCTGGCATACAATCAAGAACTGAACATTAGTCTAAATGACTCCTTACAATCCCTGGTTTTACAACTACATGAAATAAAATTCCTAAGTTTCTTTCTAACTTAATAAATTCAGAAAGGAACAGTGGCTATTTGAGTTTTACATAAGTTTTTAACTTCTCTGTTTAAGAAGTGCCAGTGGCCTGATAGACATTTGCAGAATTTGCACAACAGCTACTATAAATTTTTAATTAATTTTGGGAATTTAGCAAGACAGATGAAGAGAGTCTCTGTATGAGTTTTGAACAATGTATGTATTTACCCTTTTAGCAATTTTCAAGTATTCAGTAAACAAAAGGTATAAATTCATGCATCTTTAATGAAAATTAGGGACATCTTCTGATTTTACTGTAATGAGAACAAAAAGCAATATTCACAATGAAGGAAAATTGATCTTAGATATGAAGCACATACTCCAAAGCTCCTTAATTGTGGATACCCATTAAGATATGGGAGGTAATTTTTCATGTCACATTAAAGCCTAAATATCACTAATGTCAATAATGTAAACATTATTATATCTTTACTACAGAGTGCAAATCTCATTACTCCCAGGCAGTAAACAAGTTATCTGAGAATGATATGTTGATATTAAATATGAGTAAGGCAAGGGATTCTTGAAAGGTTTATAGGACTGGAAATTCTGTTGAAAAATCTAAGGCATATCCTGGAATGAGAGTTAGAGATACAATGGATATAGACCAGTAGTTTTCAACTTGGCAATTTTAAGATGTGTGGCTCCTATGCTGACTTGGGAAATCTGGGACCTGAATTCCACACACCTTAAATTTGCCAAGGTTAAGAAACACTGGTATAGGCATATCTTATATGAAATGACTATATTTGAGTGCAGGGAAGATCAACTCATAAATCAGCCTATAGATTTTTCTCCCAAATTTCCTGATAGAATCTCTGTAAACTGCAATGTTTTATGCTGTAAATATATTTAGAATCAGGTACACCAGATAACAATTCTCTGGGGCTGGATTCGAA